TTTCAGTATTTTTCTTCAAAATAAGTAAATTAAATTGTAATTATTCCTTTCTGTAATAACATAGTTTGTAGTGATGATAAACAGATATAAATTTTGTGCTGTATGCTAATAAATAAATATCTGTAATAAACCAAATTTTACACATAGAAGTTACAGTATGATTCTGAAAATTGTTTCAAATGTATAAAATTTGCCATTGATTTAGCACATTTATACTCTTTCTAAAGATGTAAAGTGTACAAAGATGCTGAGATCTGTTTTTGTTTCTTAATTTTCTGTCGTAAATATACATTATTGGAATTAAGTGTCTTGATGTAGCATTGGGCTAGTTTCTTAAATGTTTATAATTCAATTTTTACTAAAAAATGTAAATTTTTCATCTTCTAATGTAGAAAAATTGCAAATATTAAGGTTGCTATTTTTCATAATAATTATTTGTTGTTTACAATTTAAAAATATTTTTAATATTGGATAATTTAATATATTTAACTGAATTTATGGTTTCCCAGTTTTAATAAATATTTATTTTAAAGAATATACAAGTCCATATGTCACTTCAGGATATAAGATTGTAAAATATCTACAAATATAAATATATATAATGAAATTAGTAAATACATAAATGTTTAAATTTGATTTATGATTTTAATATGAAAGTATTTAATATTAGTATTGTTATTTTAAAACCATAGCATATTTCAAATGTTCTGATACAGATTAAATAATTTAAATAGTTTTTTTTTTTGTAATTTGAAAGAATGTACTTACTTATAATTTTAAAGAATATAATAATTAAATTTAATATATAATGAAAAATTAAATATTAAAAAATTAGCCAATCTGTTTAATAAATTTGGGATCTCATAGTTAAAAGACTCATTGCCACTTTGGCAGATTGCAGGTTTGAATCCCATCCAGGCACAGGTTTGTTTGGTGTGTTTAAGATGGATCAGTTTATTTAGAAGTAATGTAATATAACTACTACAGTTAATAATGTATTTAAATAACTAGAAATTTTAAAAAATAAATAAAATCTTGTATTTTTTAAATAGATGAATATATCTCTCTATTTGATAGAAATTCCTTAGTTTTAAAATGAGTTTTTTGTAGAATTACCAATATGCTATATTTAATTTTTTGAGAATGATTCAAAAAGTTGTCATTTTGATCTTTTGCAAAATATAGATGTTGGGGAAAAATGTTAACTTTTTTCATTTCTTGAAGTAAAGTATTTATTTTATTATGGAAATTTTAAACATTTTTAATTTAAAACATTTTAACAGTTCCTTATTTTTCATTTCTACTATGATGTTTACAGAGATATGTCTCAAACTTTAATGGCAAATTAATTCAGCATTTAACAATAGCATTTAAGACTGTGCAGATATATGCATATCCATCTCTGATATTAAAGTAACAAATCATTTTAGACGTCTTATTATTAATTTATGCTTATAATTTATGCGAGTGTTTTGCAAATTTAAAATAATTAAATAACTGATGAACATAAATAAATTGTATATATATTTTATTTAAATATTTTTTTCTTGAAATTTTCAGTTAATTTTGAAAGAGTCTTACTTTTGAGTTAATTTTTTGTTAATGATACGCATTTGATCATAGATTCTTATTATATTGGCTTTACAGAGTGATACTATTTGACATAAAAAAAAATAAAGAAAAACAATGCACACATGTATTTCATTCACATAGATTGAAATAAAGTGTTAAACAATATAATGTTAAAAGATATAAATTTTTTTAGAATTTTTCTAAAATGCTTAATTGAGGTATTCGTCGTTATCGAAAATTCTGAGGATTGATTTAATGATATAATAATGGATTATTTTAGTTGTATTTTTCCTGAGGAAGTCATTATATGACTCGATAATATAATGAGATAGCAATAATATCTACTCCTATAATTTATAACTTGTGATAATTGGATTATGCTTGTATACTAACTCACTCATGCCTTTTCTAGTGGAGATGTCAGATTTGTTATAATTTATTGCATCAATAACAGAAAAATATGGTAAAACTTTGTTATTCGATCCGATACTTTCTGAAAATTTTATCGACTGGCATCCTATGTACTGCATCACAGATATCTGCAGTTTAAAGTAGACACTTTACTGTGTCTACTTTAAACTGCAGATATCTGTGATATTGTTTAAATATGAAGCGTGACTCAGAAATTTTGCATTATGGATTCTGCTAGTAAAATCATTTTTGTTTAATATAATTATGTATATTGCATTACTTCTTCAGTGGATGCTTTAAATTTTCTCTCTCCTGTATATACATTATTACATTGAGTTTTGTCAATAAAAGATGTATACAGAAGAGATCTGTTATGCAATTTTGTACATAATTTGCTATATCTCTAATTATGTTTTTATGTGGTAGATATTTCCCAAAATATCCATGTAAAAAATTGTAAAAAGTAGATACTATCTGAATGGAAAAAGGGAAATTGGTTTATTACATTATTTTCACTGGTCTTAAAAACCAGTTAAATTAATGTGATAAACCAATTAATATAATATTATTTAAACACATCCTATTAATATTAATAGGATGTGTTTAAATAATATTTCAATTTTAATTAATAAATCAGAAGAGGAGGACCATTGTAACTTAGGTCTATAATTATTGGAAAAAAATTATAAATTTATATTATTTACACAAATTTTATTTTAATTATATTTTTTATTTGACTTTTTCAATTAAAACAAAATACTTCTAGCTTTTAACACCAAATGGCATGCAAAAATTATTTTGTATTGAAATAAATCAGAATAAATGCAATCTTAGCCTACAAAGAAATCATCAAACTTCAAATTGTTTCTGACTGCTTCACTCATGGGATAAAGTTGAAATGAAAGTTTGATTGTCACTAAATAAACTACATTCAAATAAACAGTAAAAAAAAACAGCCAGAGCTTAAAACTTGATTTTGTATGTGTCAGTCTTAAATGCAACTTGTAAGAATTATTTTGAATTGAGAGTAATTTTCTAGAAAAGCAAATATGAATATTTTTTTAGAATTAAAAATTAATGGAAATTATAAAAAATGAAAATTTACTGAAATGTATTAAAACAAAATTACATAAAAAATAATCTGTTTAGAAACATAATTGGATGTACTTAAAATATTAACATTTTAACATACATTAAATGTTAGTATTTTATAAATAATTGTGCTAAATATATAAATATTATATAATGATGATGGTGCGGTTCTGTAGCTTTAGATAAATAAAATATATTATATTGTGTAGCCCAGTGTCATATATCATACTAGTTTGAGCATTTTTCAGATTTTGATAGAAACTATGATAGATGAATGAAATCTAATGGTTGTAGATGTATCTTAGTGTTTTGGGCATAAATATTATAAATTTAAAATATCAACATAGAAAGGTTCAAAATACAGGTTGAAATATGTGTGGAGATGGAAAGTTGTACAGTTTATAATCTTGCACAATAAATTGTACCATTAGGAAAGTTGATGTTCTAATCAATTAACATGGTACAATTACATTAGTATAATACAATATAAAGAAAGTAAGTTATTTAAGAAAGTGTATTTTTAAACTTAATATTAGCCTGTTTTATTTACAGAGGAAAAAAAATGTACCTAATGAGATTGTTAAAGCAAGAATAATGTAAACTTAAATCAGTTTCCAGAGGTACTAGTGTTACAAAAACTATATAGAATAGCTTTAATAAAAATTAAATACCACAAAGTTGTTATTGGAGTAATACATTAACAGTTTTTGATCATTATGTTGATTTGTATTCATTACAAAACATACTGGTACAATATAGATGAAATGTGTTGGATCAAATTATGATATGGTACCATATTTTCTTTCAACATTCTTTTCTTTCTGATAGAAGAAATGAATTTCAAATATTGTTACACTGAATTATTACTATATACTGTATATAAGCTTACAAACAAATAAATTTTAATTTTTAGTATACAGTAGAACCTTGAAAACTCGGCCTAATGTGGACCGAAGGGTGGCCGAGTTTGTGAAAATGCCGGGTTATCGGGAATGGGGTTAAGAAATATAAGTACGAGTGTTTCCTCAGAAAATACTGTACTGTACTTGTATGTATTGTTTACTTGAGTATATAACAGAGAATAAACTGCCCAAATACCCTTAAACAAAGGGAAAGTACGTACTTTATGAAGGCATAGATCCTTTACTACATGAAAATGAAAATTAATGAATACACTGTGTACAGTAATTTATCTGATAAGACAGACCTCAGAAAAATACTTTATGACAGCTTTTATACTTTTATAAAGCTGTCTATAATAAAAATTAATTAAGTAAGGATTTTTTTGCCCTGCCAGGGTGTGGCCGAGTTATCCGGAGTGCCGGGTTATCGAGAGCCGAGTTTTCGAGGTTCTACTGTAGTACAGAAAAAAAGTAATCTAAATTTACAAATGCATGTACTGTAAATACAGTACGTACTTGCAAATGTATATATTTTAATATGATTTTATGTGCTTTAAGTGCTTTTCTAGTGATATTACGACTTCAATATTTGTGGCGGACAGACGTAAAGTCGAATAAAATGACTTAAACTTGATTTTTATTTTTCCATGTACTTTTTTGACAAACGACACATAATCGGGAACGACGTAAGTCGAGGTATACCTGTATTAATGTATTTATGTTACAGATATTGGAAGTTAGGCTATCTCAGGTAGTATAGTATCTGATTGCTGTTTTGATATACGTTTGTATTGTGGAGTGTCAGATTTTTTGCTGGTCAGATGCTCTGCTGGTATCCTTATGACTTTGAAGTTGAATGTGATTCAGAGTTAGGAGTAATAATAGGGTGATTCTTTCCTAACTTTTTTTCTCAGTGAATAATTAGGTATGATCCTTAGAGTATTGTGTATGAATTGATGCTAGTGGGTGTAGTGTGTGCACGTAAATTTTAGCATAGAATAGAACTCAATACATATAATAAGCTTTGTCATTGAATTATATAATTTAAACTAGTATTTTATATTGAAGTAAAAATTTTAAATATTGGACTATTGGAAATCATCTGATGCACTCACCATCACCATCCAGTTCAGATTAAGTAGATAAATATAGATATGATCAGAATGGTAAGATTAACTCAAACACAAATTTTAAACTATAGAATTACAAAGATTTTTTAAGTTCTGATGTTAAAAATATAAAATATTTAACAAGTAATAATATGTTTTGTTTGTGTGAATATATATATATATATCAAATGATTTATTATAAATTAATGTTGCAATCTGCAATAATTCTAGGGAAAAAGATATTTGCTGTAATTAACATAATTCTACAAATTTTTAATATTCTTATTGAAATGCTAATGCTAGAATCTCTCTTGTTCTCTTTTGTTAAAATTAACATAATCTTAAGACTGTGTTCAAACTTAGTAACAAATTTCCCTATTCCGGCCGGAAATCACAATCTCGTCGATACGATTTTTTCCATTACGGCAAACCATTTTTATCCAAAAGTTATAGCGATAACCTTGTAATTGCTTTTCCTTTAATAACATCTCTTTGCTCTATCAATCTACTCTTAATTGCACAAACTGCATTTCCTATATAAGATGTCAAAAGTAAAATTTTAATTAATTAATTTTTAGTTTTGACATGTTAAAATGATATGCTATTAAAATGATGATGATTAATATTTTAAATGATAAAAATATATTAATGTAAAGAAATGAGAGAATGTATTTGATGATTAGTAGTAACAAAATGTTATATGTAGTATAAGCATATAGTAATTACTGTAATAAAAAATTAAGTAAATTGAATTAAAAGTTAATTAATTAATTAAAAATTGTTTTTTTTTTGTTTTAGTCAAAATGTGACTTTAAATCTAGATAAAACAATTTAGAAGCTTACAGAAATTTAAATTAAATGACACACATTAAAACAACTAAAAATGGAATTATGAGTATATTAATTGTATATTGGATTTTCAGATTTAATTATTAAACTGTCTGCTTATTAGTTTTATAAAGCAATAGATGTTAAGTTTATTTATTTTACTTCTTTACTTATTTTTTATTTTCTAAATATCTTATTTTTGACCATTTCATTTAACCAGATTGAATATAAACATAATATCGAATGATAAATTGTTATTGTTCATTTAATGGAAAATTTCTTTTTTGTTTACTTAACGATCTGCTTTAAATTTACAGGTAATTTGCGATTATGGTGTTCTCTCTGTTAAATCTGGTCACACACAGATGGAATTCTGCATGATATATTATCCGGAATATGCCAGCTTACCAAAAACAATAGACGAAGACGTAAGTAACGTTTCTGGTACCTCGTATTTTTATTTTTATTCATTCCCAAAGGAAAAGGAAATCAAATGTTAAAATTTTTGTACCATTCGCTAGCACTGCCGGAGATTTTGTTCATAGTTTATCCTGTCGGTAATTTATCCTCGAAATGCTTACTTTGAGGAAATAACGTAATCTTTGTTGAAGCACAAAGTGATTAAATATAAAGGAAGAGGAAAGGCTTTTTTCTTAAATGTTACAGTGTGTTGATTAGATCTCTCCTTCCAAGACCAGCTAGAAGTGTTGTAAAATATTTATAAAACTGCTGCATAATTTAAATTCTCAAAGTTAATCCGGTACTTTAATAAAATTTTTCTATTTATTTAGTTAAAATTTTTTTGAAGGTCTNTTCTCAAATTCATAAATAATTTAAGTAAATTTTATTTGGTTGAAAAATGTCAAGTTATCAAAAATTCATCGTTTTTTAAAAAGGAATAAACTTAATTTGGGTCACTAAACAGGCCGAGATGGTGCAAATAATAGGAAAGCCGTTCAAAAATAACTTGACGTGGTTTGGTTACTTTAAATCTTCATTGTTTGGGAATTTTTAAAAAAAATTGTTTTGTTTCTTAATTTCAAAGCATGAAATCTTAAAATTGTTTATTCCAGTTTAAAATTGGGTTTAAAAAATTAGAATTAAATTATTAATTGTTTTAATTTAATATTTTTTTTAAATAAATAACTAGAATTTATTATTAGAAACTTGATTAAAATATTTACTTAAACCAAAAGAATTTTGAGATATAGAACCGAATATACGTTTTGTTAATATTTCTGAAGCAAAAAATTTTAAAAATTGTCGATAAAATATTTAAAAATTCTTATTTAAATTTTATACAGCAGATTAAATAATCAATTTTTTCGTTTTTTTAGATTTATTGATCTTGATTTTGTATTCAGTTTTTGAAATTTATATATTTCTAAGTTGTTCTTGCATTAAGTCTAATTGTTTGGCATTTTAAGTGGATTATAAATTATTACATTTTATAACGATAATTTAATCCAAAATTAGCTCATTAATTATATAACTACATTTTTATTTTAAGTATTAAATTTATCATATATTTGCATGAATGAATGAGCATTTATGTTAAGATATGCTAATGTTTCCTTAAAGAATATATAAGTATGAATAAGAACATCGATATCCCTCATTAAAAAATGAACTTTGCCTTGACAGAAGTACGAGTCTCTCTATTACGCTTCGACACTAAACACCTGTGACAATTCATCTTCGGAAGGAGACACAAAATTTGAAGATCATGCGGTTTTGGTCCAGATACAGAACTGTAGTTTATTCAATCAGGCCGAAGTTATCAAAAATGGTGGCGGGCTCGCCCTGCTGACGTACGGTTCGGCGGAGATGTTGGTGAGAGATTTTTTCTAAACTGTTTTTAGTCAAAGATTTATCAGTGTTTTCAGATTAATATTTTTATATGCAAGATTATAAAAATGAAAGTAAATATTTTCTAAGAACTCCAGAAGTGGATAGCTACAATAATCTATCTAGTTGAACAGTCGTACTAGTCACGATAAGTATTTAGTGATGAAAAGTAATAAGAATTTTTTAATGCATTTGAAATATAACAAAAGAAAGTAAAGTTAAAATGTATTGAAGTTTGAATGGTCTAATAAATAAATCTATTTAATTAAGGGTTGAATAAATTTTGTATTTTTTTATTATTATAATGATATTTTTGGAAGTATCAGCAGCTCTCTCTCTATTAGAACTTGTAATATCAGGATGTATATATTAAATTTAAAAAGAATAATAAACTCTGCTGATTTAGTCAAATGGGGGAAAAAATTTTTTTCCAAAAATATTTTTTTGAAGTTGTATGTTTTATTTGAATCAAAACTCTTGAAATCAGAATAAGGAAATTTGTAATACTGTTACTTTATATTCTTATGTATTAGAAATTTAAATGAAACGGATTTTAAGTTGCACGTTAAAAAGTTTATTTTATTTATTCATTATAATTATTTTGTAGTTGTGAATATTAATAGTCTGTATAATTTTAAATTGTGCTAAGAATCAAATATTTTAAAACGTTACAAATTCCAATAGGTCAAAGAAGATCCTCCAAACAAACTCGATATTCCAGTTGTCTGGATAACAAATAGAACTTCCGAGAAATTACAGGTAAACACTTAAATAATTCCAAGAGATAAAACACACAATTTTTTTTAATAAATTAAAAGTGAATCTAATAATGAAAACTGGTTTTTTAGGATCTGTTACCCGATGCAAAAGTGTTCTTATATTCGCCACCGAGTTCAAATTTCGATTACAGTCTTTTGATTATATGGATTTTTGCCGTGTTTTCGGTGGTGGTCGGATCTTACTGGTCGGGAGTGGTTCGGCATTCGTTGTAAGCGTGCTTCGAAAGAAGCTCGTTTTTCTGGTTTGATTAATTTTAAACAGATAATTGATTAATTTTTATTTATTACAAATGATTCGTTTGCCATCCAGACACTTGAAAGAAATGAGCAAGCTTCCAAAAGCAGAAAATAATTCTGAGAGTGTGCAACAGTCCTCCCAGTCATCCACCGAGGGAGAGGAGAGTTCGCTCAATGTTTCTCCGCTAATCATTGTCGTCTTTGTGATTTGCATGGGATTAATGCTTGTTCTTCTCTACTTCTGTTTTAATTATTTAGGTAAATAATTTATAATTATTTTAATATACTTTTTAAGCATTAAATACACTTAATTCTTTTTCAGATTTTCAGACTGTCTGAAACCAGACTTCTTTGGGATATGTTAGTCTCACAAGTTATATTAATTAACCCAAAATTTTCACAATGTTAAAATTAATTTCATTATCTTTCTAAATGTATTGAGAGAATCCATATCATTTGTTGCATATGATTCTCTTCCTGTTGATATGTTTCAGTATTCAAATGAGACAAAACATACTCCATTTTATTAAGTTTTTTTTTTGTTTTTTGATAGAGAAGGATTAGAATAACATGCAAATTATGCAAATATTAGAATAACATGCAAAGGACACTTACACATAACAGTAGTTAAAGACACTGAAAAAATTCTTAATCATACAGTTAGAAGGAAATAGTTTATATTTCATTTAAAAAGTCTTTTGAAAAGTGTATTTTTATTGCTTCAAATTGAAAAAAAAATTTCAGTTTTTTTTTGTGTTTAAGGAAGCTTAAACAATGACTTTTTTTATATTTTGTAGAAGAGAGTAAATATTATTTCCTGAATATTGAAAAATTTATCAAAATGCTTATGCCATTAAATTTAATAGTTTCTCTCTTTATTTTGATAGTCAATTCATAAATTTGAATATCTTGGAAGATTTAAATAATAGTAATAATACCATATTTATTGAAGTAGTAATTTATTACTTTAGTAACAGTCATAAATTACCAAATTCAGTTAACAATTTATGAAATTTAAACAGTTAACATATGCACTCTTTGCTGTTTTCATAATAAAATAATGAGAATAGAAATGAATGTAATATTGCCATAAAATTAGTAAAGAATTGTGTTATTGTTTTAATAAGCTTTTCAGGCATTGTTTTTATAAAATTAATAAACAAATTTTCATATAAAATAAATCAAATATTTATAGTAGTTACATTGGTTTTCCTTTTGAAAATTATGTTGTTTTTCCATACTAAATAAATACTAAATAACAATGTATAATTATACTATATAATATATCTTATATTGTTAGCTATGTTGCAGTTATTTTATAAACAATTTAGTGAAAAAAGATAACTTTTTAGTCTATTTATATATAAAAATTTGATGATTTTACAAATTTGACATACACATTAAAAGCATTGCATAATTATAGCTGTATTTAATTATGCAATAGTCTTTTAAATGCATAATAACATTTTTATCCTGATAATTATGTGATATGTATGGAAAGAATTTTTAATTTTAATAAAAAGTTTTTATGCATTTTAGTTTATATCATCATTGGATTATTTGTTCTGGCTTCCGCCATCTCCGTTTATCAAAATTTAAATGCGCTGATGCAAAAGGTTCCCGTCGGAACTTGCCTGTGAGTGAATTTTCTGTTTTACGACACAAGAAAACTTTGGTTTTATGTAAGTAGTGATTTGAAATACAATTGCATTTTATAGTTTCTTCCAATGTTCCGCACTTGGCACCAAGTGGAGCTGTCAGGTGCGACAGATGGTTCTGGCATGCGCGGCTCTAGCCCTCTCCCTGACCTGGCTGGTGTTGAGAAAAGAAAGGTTGGTAGAACTTGCCATTATTTACCATTAAAATTTTTAAAGCTCTAAATATTAATTTCTAGCTACTCTTGGATTCTTCAAGATCTATTGGGAATTTCATTTTGCATAAATTTGTTACAATCAATTAGACTTCCAAATCTGCAGGTAATTACTTAGATTTCTAAACTTTTTACCAGGTTTTAATACTTTGTAATACTGTTATTTATTCTTTACAGATATGCACAATTTTGTTAGTGTTGCTCTTTTTCTACGACATCTTTTTCGTCTTCGTCACTCCCCTGTTAACTGTGGTAAGTTGAGACCGCGGGCATAAAACTCCGCCACTAATTTTGTTCTAATCATTCCGTTTTCGTACCTTTGTAGAAAGGAGAGAGCGTCATGGTAGAAGTTGCAACGGGTGGTACTTCCGGTGAACAGGTAAGAATTTTTAAGATATTTTTATGAAAGCACGGTAATAATAATTAAAACAAAAACAAATTATTTTTGTAAATGGTATATTCACGATAACAGATTTAATGATATATTGTAATTAGATTGATTGGTAAACAGAGAGAATATTGTAATCATTTTGACAACAAATACGAAATTACGGTTAGTTTCACAGGTCCGATCTGTAATTAATTCCGGAAGAATGCACGGAAGATTTATTTATTTCAACGAATAACTCTAGGGATAATTGGAATATTTATCTAAATTTTTTCTTGTACTTTCCAAGTCCAAGTTTTATATTCTTACAAATTATTAATCACACCGATGCTAAAATTAAGCCATAATAAATGCGTATGTCTTATCCAGAATCTTAAGATTTAAAAAAAAAAATTATAATTGATGCCTCAAAACAAATATAAAAAAATTAATAAATGAGTAATTAAAAATTATATTTTGGCTCACTAGAAATGACGACAGAATTAGAATGACTAAAAGATTAAATGTTAGGATAATCAACTGACTAGGAACTTACTTTCTCTTTAATGTTTTCTCTAGTAGAACCGCAATGAATTGGGTCAAGATTCACAAACTGGGATATAACGAGTGATAAGATAATTCTTTTCTCATTTAATAATAAAATATCGTTGTTGCTATAAATCGGCACGTTTCTCAATAAGTTCTCATTACTCACTTGTTTATTATTATGTTATGCTGCATTAAAACTATATTTAAAAAAAGAAAACTTAAAAGCATAGTGTAGCAAAGGACATTTTATATATCGAGTTAAAAAGCTTTTTCGTGAAAGTTTGACTTCTTCCAGGAATACTCCGGTTTGTAATTTTAAAAAAAATAAGAATTATTCGGGAATAAATGGAAGCGAAATGAATTCCAAATACGGAATGAATAAACATGGGTTGCATAGATGCAGTATAGTAATAAAACTATTCTGGCGCTTATTTTTCTAGGTAAAATTATCAGACCAAATCGCGAAAGTGTATAAACGTTCCGGCTCAGATTACGCGTTATTGTTACTAAACATTTCACAGTCTTTGAAGAGTGGCGGAAGGTAAATCCCATTATCGACTTAAATATCACCGATCGCACCCCACAGTCTGTTATTTCAGCGGGATAATACACCCGACATTAAATTTTCCACGTTGCTTTAAAAAAGGAGACATCAGACGATTGGCACGGAGATAAAAACAAATTTCCCGAGTACAGAAGTTTAGCAAAAAGTTTAGAAATTAGAAAACACATTTCTTGTTTCTTTTACTGTCGACATAAACAGTATAATAATTAAGGTTTTTGACTAAAGATAAGAATAGTTTGAGTTCCGAACAACCGTCAAAGATATCCCGCATGGTTAAGAGTTTAATTATTGTTTTCTCGATTGTAAAACTACCCCAATTTTTCAGACCAGTAAAGTCGAAAATAGAATGGCGGTAATTGCGGAGGAAATGTAATTTGTTCCGTACAGTACTTACAGAAATTGCGGAGGAGATCAATGGTTATCGATGTCAAAATAAGTTAATACAAGTTATATCTCATTTATTTTAAACAGTGCGGATCGGCCATCGTTTTCTTCCTTCCACGCCCAAATAATTATTGCTTTCGATCGATTCGACTTTTGCAAACGTTATAACGTCGGTTGGGATAATTTGTAAATAATGAAATGCGGATTAGTTTATAAGTTGCGCGTTAGATTTACACTCCACTAAATTTATTCCGCTTATCCCTAGATCTAAAGATTGGCGCAAAAAATCCCAGGGAATTGTCGTCGGGTCCCTTCCCGATTAAGGCCCGTTAGCGCCCGCGGGGTAGTAGGAGAGAGAGAAAAAATGAACTACTATTATTAAATTTAGATAAAGAATATCGATCGCTGTTCCAGCAAATTGTATTTATTCTCGCAAGGTTAACCTTTCGAAAACTTATGCGGTCGGAGTATTTGATAATTTAGAAAAATATTTTCCCCGTTGCCCTTTAAATTTTAATGCCTTTGTATTCGGCATAAAATATTTTTGGAGAATAATTTTCCGCTAATCCAAAAAAAAAAAAAAATGCCGCCCGGTTATCGATCCGCGGCGTTAATATGCCAGCGTTGTATCCGGGAATAACGGAACATAACCTAAATATTAATATTTCTGGAATTACACCGGTTGTACGATAGAAAAACCAAGTCGGCGCGGTTATTAATTGTCGGTAATTCTTAACAGCCGAGGAAAAAAAAATCGAAATTAGTTGTTGTTATAATATACTTTAATAGAATTACATTAATTCTTTAATATGCGTAATTATCGCGTAGTAATAACGGGAGAGGGATGCGGCCAGACCGAGAGAATTGGAAAATATTTAGCATTTTTCTCTTTATAAAAATGCCTTAATGACGGTAAATACTTTACTTTTTTCCCCCCATTTCCATAATTTCGATTGTGAAAAGCGTAATTGTTTCCAACGTAAAAGTAATTAATTTGGAAAGAGAATTTTTGCGAATGTTCCGGGAAGACCGGGGCGAAAATAAAGACACGATTCGGTAGAGTAAAATCGCGTTTATTTACGTGTTAATCGGTTACATCGAACACGACGTATTTACAATTTTTCTTGGTTATCCCCGGTAATTAAGTTACACGCTCTTCTTCTTCCTCCTCCGAATTACTCGGGACCGGTCGAGTTCGGCTCCTTCGTAATCCACTTTTTTTCCCCCGACGGACGGGTGTCGTTCTTCGCACTTTAATCGGTCTCGACGTTCTCTTCTTCGCACCGGAGCTGGAAGTCCGTCCTCCTCGTAATTTGCCAAATTCCAACCGAACGTGGCGTAAATTATGCATGGACACCGCTCCCACGCCCAATTCCGTTACCTGGCCTAAACGAATTAGCTAGCCTCTAAACCGAATTACCGTTATACAAATATACGTACCGAAATTTCTGCACCTTTGCAGGGAAGAACGGAAACACGCCAGTTTTTTTTTTTTTCGTGAATGGAAAATTCCCAGAGTTGGAATATTCCCAGGTAAATTTGCGCATCTGGGAATATTCCAATTTTCAAATAGTTACGACTTTATGTCTATGGTGGGATTAATGAGCGAAATTATTGGTAATATCTTTGGCCTACACCTACGGTTACGTCGGCGATAATCGATGGTTCTAACCTTTAACTACATCGGCGGCGGGGGGGTTTACATTTAGAGGGCGATATTAAACTGGGGAAGAGAAGTTTCCTGTATAAAATGTAGGCCTAGATGCGCGCGCGGGAAAGGAATTTTCGTAATTACCTCGATTAGGGGAGAGAATTAAATTTTTTCCTCTTTCGGAATTGATAATTAACTCGGTAATTTTCGGTTTTTCGGAATGTCCCGAAGTAATTTCGTCGTTAAAGTTGTTACCGCGGAATGTTTTCGGTAACGTTTATTATTGTTATCTTCTGTTATTATTTAGTTAGATCGTGTCCGACGTTTACGAAATAGATTCGGCGCCGTAACCGTTACCCAGGCGGAGGGGAGGGGAATGTCCGCCGACGATACGAAGGTTACTCCGGGAAAATAAGCGTTACGCTCCGAGAAAGTTATAGAATGTACGGGGAGGAGAGGAATAAGATTAATCGCCTTCCGTAACTCTCCACTCTGGTTAATTTCGCCAAGTTTGGTGAAGCGCGAGACGTAGAACGGCTTTTAATAAACCGAAACGACGAATATATCCCGATTAGTGTAGTGGACCGAAACTAAATTAATTCTAGCGCCGTTTAAATATATTATTCGCGCGCGGTTACGAAACGTTACCAATCCGGATGGCCTACCCGCGGAATTTGAAAGGGAGCGGCGCAACGGGCTCTCGGTTATTCGATCGCGATTAATCGCTAGAGAGAACTAAACGAGAAACGAGCGGAATTTCTCCGCCCTTCCGACACGAATAACGAATAATTTGGTGTTTGGACAGATCCCGATGGTGCTGAAGGTGCCGCACCTGACTTTCAACGGTCTGAGCGTTTGTCGTTACCTGAACTACTCGCTCCTGGGATTCGGAGACATCCTGGTTCCGGGTAAGTTCCTTTCTGTGCGGTTGCCCTCGGCTTTCACTCTCCTCTAACCCTATACCGTTCCCTCTTCAGGTCTGCTGATCGCCTACTGCCACGGATTCGACCTGATCGCCGACACCGGAAGAGTTTACTTCGCGCTGTCCTCCGTGGGTGAGTGTTTCGTCCTCCTCCTCTTCTGTCGCCGGTCCTTCCTCCACCCACGCGTCTTTTTCTGTGTTTTTTTCAGCCTACGGCTCGGGCCTGCTGGTCACCTTCGTGGCCCTGTACCTGATGAACACGCCGCAACCGGCCCTTCTGTACCTGGTTCCGGCCACCTTGCTCCCCCTCCTGTTGGCGGGATGGTTCCGAGGAGACCTGCGCCGGCTGTGGTGGGGAATAAAGGTCGGTAGAGTTTGTCGTCGTCCGGTCGACCCTCCGCTGCCGCGGACCAACTAACCTTAGCCTTTTCTAGAGAACCGGTCGGGAGCTGGCCAGCTCGCCGGAAGTGGAAACTCCCTCCTTGCCGGAAGTCACCGAGGAAGCGGCGGAGGACGCCGAACTGTTGAAGTGAGTCCCGCCGGGGGCGGGAAGAGAGAGACAGAAGGATATTTTTGTACTTAAAAGGCCCGTCCGCCGCCGTCTGTCCATATCGCGCTTCCGGTTCTTTGGCCGGCGGCGGGCGTGTCTCGGTCTGTAGCGTGGAATAAAGGAAACTTTTTGTATTTTTGTCACCCGGCTCCGTTTTGGAAAACTACGAACGGGGGCGACGGGATACAAATTTTTATTTCTCGGGGTATTTTGAAATCGTACAAGTAAACGTGTGTGCAAAGACAGTATAAAAGGGAAGTCGGAAGTGCGGGAGACACGTTCCGATGATAAAGTACAGGATCCTTCGGTCGTTGGTCCCACGCGGAACGAAAACCGATCGAGAAATGGACCCGGGGCGTTCCGAAGCGGAAGAGGTTTGGTCCCAGCTGTCGACGGGCGACCGAAACCACCGAAAACCGGAAGTAGACGAAGAAGAGAAGGCGGTGGCGGGCACCTCAAATCCTGCATTTTAACACCGATGGGGTGGGGGTGTCGGTGCGGTTCGCTCGCCTTCCAACCCAACAAACAAATAAATAAATAAAAAGAGTCCAGTCGAACCGGTTGCCATTTCCCGACGGTCGCTCTCTCTCTTTTTCGGTAATTGTTTGGGCTTGAAGTGATTTTTTTCTTCTGTTTAACTCTAGGCGCTACTGTTATATATAATTGTTTTTTCGTGTATAAAAAGGAGAAACTGGAAAGGACCGTCCGTCCACTCCCATGCTATATGAAGCGGAGAATTGCCGTAAGCCGGGATCCTAGCCGAGCACCCTGACCAAAACTCTACAATCGTCCCCCTCCTTTACATATTTATATTATTTACATTCCCTTGCCGGGGATATGTGGATGGCGATCGGGGGCCGCGGTAGACTTTTTCCACCGGGGAGAAAAATAAACTCGCGCGTCCTCCGTCTCCGCGGCGCGCGCCGGTTCGAGTGCCTAGTGAGTGCGTGTGTTCGTGTGTGTGTGTTGTCGTGCTTTTGCGTGCGTTTCTGGTGCATAGTTGGTCGGTGACGACGTTCTACGCCTAGCTATCGACGAAAACGAATGCGAAATGGAAGATGCATAGCTCGGAGGACGCGTCCGGGAGATCCGTTTGCGGCGCGCCCGCGCGGAGCTGGGCCGCGCGGCGCGGCGCGTCGCCGTCGGAGGCCCGAAAACGATTGACATAGATTTTAAAGTGATGGTTCTGTTCCAGACAAAAGAAGAATAGAAGAATCCTCGACCGAGCGCTACCGGCTAATCCGCGTCCGGAAACGACGCGGCCGACAGCCCGGAAACGACGCAACTAATCGTAAAATGGAATGGTCGAAGACGAAAGAGGGCGCCCGCCCGGGTCAGACGTTGACGGGGGAGGACGACAGTCCGGCCTCGTCTATCCGCCCGCGTCCGGGCGCGTTGGTCACTATGATGGTGGGCGAGTTGGGTCCGTTCTGGACCGGATGAGCGGCGCCGCTGCTCGGCCTCCGGGGACTCTCCTGCAACTGTACACAAACAAAACGGCGTCAGTCTCCCCCTCGTTTCCGGTCGCCGTGGCCGACGCGGCAAACTCACCTTTTTGGCGATTTCGTCCACCGACAGCACGGTGCCCCCCGCCAGTTGGTCCGTCCTCTTGTCGGGGTTGCTTCTCAAGCTCTGTTGACTGGGGCGTCTGCTGCCTGCCACACGTTTCATACCAGAAAAATGAGTGGACGTAGACACTTCTCGCTCTTCCCCTCCTTCCGATACGAGCAGCGCTCCCTCTCCTCCGCAAAGGGCTACAAATAAACGCGGCCGAATTTCTTTTTTAAAAGTGGACCCCGCTTCCATCGATTGGTCTTTTCTACAAACCAAGTTTTTCCGTCGATAAACTAAAAATATCTCTGGGTTTTTTCCCTTTGTTTCGAGAAGACATTCGGTCAAACAAGGTGACGAGGGGAGGAAGAGGGGGCGCAGTCTTATCTTTCGGAAGGGGAGAGCGAAGAAGGGAAGGAAAGTAACGGTACTTACCCGCTCGAGAAGGGAGGGGCGACAATTGCGAACAGACGCTGGGCTGTCGCGACCCTCCTTGCATGCTGGCGTGGCTGCCCCGTCGGTGCCCCTTCTTCTTACCCAGTTTGATGTGCATCAGTCGAGGGTGCGGATTGCTGAAGATGGAGCGGTTGTTGCGGAATCTGGCCCTGTCCAACGACAATCGGGTGGAATTTTAGCTCGGTGGGAAAATCGGAAGAGGAGAGTCGCGTGGTTACGCGTCGACGGGAGGGAAGGCGTGGGTGGACGGGAGGTGGCGGGTGGTGGAAAGGCGGACGACTCACCTGCTGAACATGTTGAGGGCCACGCATATTCCGATGAACATGAGTCCAAAGACGACGAGGATGATCAAAACGTTTTTGTCTTTGATTCCTCCCGATCCTTCCGAATCGCCTTCGTTTCGCTCTCCCGGCGTCTGGGTGGTCAACACTTCTCTCTCTTGAAAGAAACAATCCGCTTTAGACGGCCAAAGAACCCGCAACTCCCCCAAGAAGGCCTCCGCCCCAATTCGTTCGCCGCCCGCCGGGGAGGGAAAGGGAAGAAAGATTCGCTCACCTAACTGGCAGGTGACCGCTTTCACTTCGTCGAGCAAGATGAATCCGGGGGCGCAGCTGCACCTGTTGTCCACGCAGGTGGAATTTCCGTTCAGCACTCGGCACTGCTCCTCGATCACGCACTCTTCGCGCAACTCTTTTCCTGAAAACCAACAAATCTGATTTTGGGAAGGGAAAGAATAAGATGGCGTGGCGGGTTCGTTTCTCTCCTCCCGTTGGCAAATAATCACTTCCGGAATCCTATGCAAATCGGAGATTAATAAGGGACAGAAGCCACCGATTCCGATTCCGTTAACGAAACGACGAGAGAGGGAAAGAAGTATCGATCGCGACGGAGAAACGATTTAAGAGGAGGGAGAAGTCCGGATATTCCGACATCTGGAGCGGAAGTTTTCCATTTATTTGGCCCCGACGTCGGAAGAGACGACGGTTCCGATCTCTCTCCACCCAGAAAAAAAATCACCCGCGGGAGGAGGAAAATTTGGCGGCCACCGAGGGACCGGGGATACCGAGAAGTCGGTGGAATTCTGTCCCGGAAACCCATACGAACCGGAAGTAGCGGTAAAGATGGCGGCAAAAGGCCGTTATCTCCCGAAGAAGGAAAAAGCCAACGTTTTCTGGTTATCGCGTTTTAATGCGGGTTAATTAAACGATAATTAAAAGTAACCTAATTGCGTCGGTTTCCGGGAAAATCGTCTTTGGGTCGAACGAGCGGCGACGTCATATTTCCTTTATTAATTAACCGTTAATTAGCCCAGGCGATTATTAGTCGACTTCTCGCGTATCTTAAATTAGTTTCGGCCGCCGAAGAGGTAAATAAGCTGGGAACCGAAGACCGAGTCTTTGGAGAACTCCGTGATCGATGGAGTTCGATCGCCCGGCGACGAAAGGAGTGGATCGAATTTTAATAGTTTTCCACGGATGGTCGCTCGGCTACTTATAAAACTATTTAATAAGAGACGAAAGCGCAAAATAGGAACGTTTCGAAACTCCGTTTTACGCTTGGCCGCGGTTGGGAATGCGCAATCCGTTACCTGGCTTACCGGCGCCAATTCGGGCTTATAAACAGCCGCGGATCCTCTCCGGGGATCCATTTTTAGCCCGGAGTGTGTGAGCCAAAGTGCAGTTTTTTACCATTTCTTTTCAATTTCCAACCCACGAGAGAAGGTAATAATACCTAGAAAGTCGTCCAGTAGGAGCAGTCGGAGACTCTCCCGGGGAAAAGTTCGTTACGGAGGAAACTACCGAAATCTTTACGAAGAAACGAGGTTCGAATTTATGACGACACACGGGAGAATCCGCCATACATTTTAAGAGTACCTTCGATCGTAAATCCCCATTTCGGTTCACTCGGCGATCAGGCCCCAGCCTAATCTCAATCCTCGGGAACGGAACGGAAAAAATTCGGGAGTGACTCCCAAGTTTGGTTCCGGTCTACCGTCCTTTAAATATTGACAATCGAGCCGAATGGCAGTTAGATCGAAGAAATTATCCGGCCTAACCGGGCCGTTACGGTTATCGCCCGTTTATTATTAACCAATCCTTTTGCCGTCACCAAACTTTTATTACTAAACAAAAATGGAAGGGAAGAGGACAATCGGTGGGCGTAAGGGTAGAAATTCCCAGTCGGACCCCAGAGATCGGTACGAATTCGTTATTATTTTAGTGGATATCTCGCTAGGTGTTTCGAAGACTCCGGTGACTAATTTGGACGGTCAAAATGGCTTCTCGGAGTCCCGGGGATCGCTATTTTAGGTAAACCGGCGGAAAAAATCGGGCGAGAAAGTCATTTGCGAAATGGAAATCGGAAGATGGACTTTTTTTTTCTTCGTTTTAGCTGCGATCGAACTTTCCAATATCGTCGATTGAAAGGGAGAGTGGTTCCTCCCCTCCGCCACTTCATTGGACGATTCTAGGCGAGAATACGTCGAATCGTCGGTCCGTGCGCCAAATTGGCGCTCCGTATCGGATCCGAAAGGACCCCCTCGGTAAAACTGGAATCAGTTAGGGAAAAGTCGAAGGTTAGAAACGATGGGATTAGTGAAACTCGGTCGCTTCACCGCCCTCCAATTCCTCCCCACTCCCATTAACCGTCGATCCCTAATCGATTTACCGGGACGGTGGGGGGAGAGCGGAAATTTCCGGGATAAGCGTTCCGGAAGTTTGGTTACGCCGAGAGGAAAAAGGCTTTTAGCCACTAGCAATAATTAGAAGATCGAATTCTTCCAGGAAATCGGAAAAGATAGTTACGAAGAAAGAATCCCGTTTTCCCTCCCGGCTGCAAATAATGGAAATCCATGGCCGTTGAATCGAATGGGACCGTTCGACTTCGGATCCGGAAGTACCCGCGGAGGGAGCCGATTTAAAAATATTTGAATAATAATTACTCCGGCACTCCCCGATGGAGGAATTTAAAGAAAATTCATCAGATTCTATTGTAAATTTTTATTTCCGACTCGTAGTCGTACAGGTGTACGACACAGCGCGGTAGGAAGGTACGAAACACCTACCGAACCGACAATCAATTAAATTCAATCGGCGCATCGATCCTTAGTACCCGCACCGGGATTGGTTATTATTTTTGTTAAATATACCACCGGACAACTTAAGTTATAAGCCATTTCCCTTAGCCTAGTCTGGCGCTCTGGGTACGTCACCGAGAGAGAAAATGGCCGGGTAAAGAGCGCCAGACCCCAATCTTTCGGAAGCGCCTTTTAAGTAGGGAGGAATAGTTTAAGAAGCGCGTGTTGGTAGTACGGAACGGCAACGAATCGAAATTTGCTGTGTAAAAAGACGTGTACAAAAAGCATTTAATTCCGAAAGGAAATTTGTTAGTTTGCTCGAGGGTTTAAGGATAAGAGAAGCTTTGTTTGCGGAGTTATCGACGCTTCTTTGTAAAGATGGCGGCAAAAGGCCGTTATCTCCCGGAGAAGGAAAAAGCCAACGTTTTCTGGTTATCGCGTTTTAATGCGGGTTAATTAAACGATAANTCTTTCGGAAGCGCCTTTTAAGTAGGGAGGAATAGTTTAAGAAGCGCGTGTTGGTAGTACGGAACGGCAACGAATCGAAATTTGCTGTGTAAAAAGACGTGTATAAAAAGCATTTAATTCCGAAAGGAAATTTATTAGTTTGCTCGAGGGTTTAAGGATAAGAGAAGCTTTGTTTGCGGAGTTATCGACGCTTCTTTACTGGCTTACCCCGGGGATGGAGTGTTATTACTTCTTATCTCGGCTTTTGCCTGCGGAAAGTATTATGTAGCTTAACTGTAATCCGATAGACCGGGGTGGACGGGTTAATCCGCCACAAAATTCGGTGGCCGTAGCGTTTTATATTTAGAAAGAGGCGCGAGACGAATAAAACACTAGAAATCGAGATAATACAAACTCTTCGTCTTTCTACATTCGGCCCCCTACGCTATTTATACATAGTAAATAGTGTTAATAGACGAAATGTTAGGCCGTTATCACCGAAGATTACGTAATTCCGACTTTTCGGAGGGAATTCCTCCAGCGGAATCCCTAGTAATATCGTGTTTTAATATATAAAATTAAAGAGAGTTTTGTGTAATATATACTTTAGGATTGGCTAATTCGAACACTCGGTAATTAGTGACGTTTTGTCGCTACGTTTTCCCTAAAAATGCGGGCGTAACGGTCGTTCCGAAGGGAAGAAAACGAAGAGAAACGACCGACGGAAACTGTTCGAGATAGACGATAAAGGAGCGAAATGTTACAGCGTGAAGAGAGGAGGAGGAAAAAAATCCCTAGGATAATGGAACGACGTTCTTCCGGCCAGAGTTCCATTAATTTTAACACCGAGATTTTCCTTCTAAAAACGTGTAATTATTTTCTTTTACCGGGGAGACTCCCTCCTCCAAAAAACGTCCGAACTTTTGATAAGCCAAAGAACGATCTAAAGGGGGAAAAATCCCGGTTTCGATCGATTCCATCGATTTTACGTCGGCGCTTCATCCGGTAAATACCGTAATAACGGATCGATTGGATCCTCTATTGTTATTATAATAATATTTGGAAGGGTCGTTCCCCGCGGCTGGAAATAAGCTTCTTCCGGATGGGTTCTTTGTTTCCTAAAATTCACCTCCAATTCCCGAAATTTTCAGATAACGGATCGACGTCGGTACGGACTTGCACGGTTTGTTTCCGGAGCGTCGTCCCGGAAAATAGAGAGGCCGCGGATGCGAAAACGGGACGATTTGGAGGAGGAAGAAAAAGGTAGAGGAGCGCCCGAGGAAAGGCGGGCGAAACAGTTAATATTAATTAGGCGGTCGACCGTCCATTAACTACTTAATTAAGAGGAGGGCGGCCCGGCCTAATTACCGGATAAATAAACGGGGAAATTAATTCCGCACCCGACCGAATTAGCCTTAATTACCGGGTGCCCCGAGAAAAAAATAAAAAGCAATTTACCGAAATTTCCGCGGCAATTTTTCTTCGGGACGTATTCTCTCCCCCTCCGTTTCCACCCGCGAGGTAAAGGGGCGGGAGGAACCGGCCGTCTTTCGTCGTTACGTTTCCGCGGAGAAGTCGTTTCCGGAACGATTCCCTCTACCCGAAACGACGTATCCCGGATTTTGTCGAGTGGAAGCACGTACGAGTCTTTTCGTCCCCCCCGTAGCGTAGCGGGTGGAATTTCTCCTCCCCGGAAGCGTAAAAATTTGGAACGAAAGTTTTTACGCTCCCCGGAAATTCCGCAAAAGACGCGATTTGCGGAATTTCCGACCTTCTGCCAAATTGGAAAGTCATTTTCCTCCCCTTTTGCCGAAAGTCGTCGCCATCTCCGTTCCGTTACCGAATAGGAAATGCTTTCTTTTTCTGTCGCTTCTCCACTCCGGGATAATAAAACGAAATTTGCCATAAGGTCCGAACCCCCGACGAACGTTCCCGAGACGTACAGTACAGTACTTGGAATCTGGCCACATTCCGCGAATGAAGGAGTGGACGAAACGAACTTTTCCATTTATTTTTCCGTCGTGGCCTTTTCCCCTACCCCAAAAAATGTATAGAAGAGTGGCCAGTTACTAAAAGAAAGACCGGAAAAGCGTCGCGTCCCGCCTCCGTTCGTCGACGATAAATTAAATCGTCCGTTTATGCCTATGACGCGACGGTCGGGCCAACGTTAATAAACGGAGCTAATCGGACACGGGGCGGTTCTAGACAATTTCCACAAAAGTCCCGTATATTATAAAATTGGCGAAATTATACCGAGGTACGGCCCTAGAAACCGTTACCAACGCCGCCGTCGTTCGGGGTTTCGAAAAGCGAATTAGAATCAATAACAATAAAGGGGGGTTGGGTGGGAAATTCGAATTCTCATTGGGAGAAAATCATCCGCATAAATCGCCGCTAGACGACACGTAAACGGATGTCGTGACGACGGAGGGATTTTTTGTTTGCCTTTCTGTAAATTATAATTAGCTCGGCGCGGAGAATAACAAAGAACGACGCGGCCCGATAAAAGCTACCGAAACATTAGGGGAAGGTGGCCTTAACGCCTTACAAACGCCTTTAGGCTACCTTCCCCCGGGGATCGGAACCCGCCACTCTGGTTAATCTTTCCAGTCCGGAAGAATCGTTCCACTTTTAACCCGGGCCGCGACGTAACCACGGCTAACGTTAATTACGCGCGGCGATTTTACTCGAGTCCGGGTTCGAAATCCGCCGTCCAGCTTTATTCTTTCGCTTAGGTAACGGGAGGGAGCGATTTACGTGTCGATAAAGACGTCGGTACACTCGGGACGAGGTGGTAAGCGGGGGGAGAATTATGGAAAAGTGACGTAACCGGCGAGGCGATAAGAGCGACGACGACCGGGAAATTTTATGTAAATTGGAGAGGATCGTCTTCCAGTCCGAGAGAGAAAGTTATTTGGCATCCCCTTCCCAATGCGGTTCTACTTTGTTTCCCCCTTCCAACCTGGACGGAAAATACACGCGTACTAACTCGGAAATAGAAAAGTGGTAACGTATTGGCGGGGGATAAGAGATATAAATGTACAAACGTAGAGGACGTAACTCCTCCTTAAAGCGATACGTTTACGTATTACAAGTAACTAGTAAGAAAGACAAGAAAATAAGGTGTCGATTTTTATAACCGGTACGTTACGGAGTTTAACGGATTAAAGCGGATAGTAGTAGTCCCGTAGGATTTGGCAATTCCCGGCCAGGCGGAGGGCTCTCCGGAGACGGACGTTTAAATCATCCGTCTACGCGGTAACGGAAGTTACGTTCCGAACTTCCGTTACCGCGTAGACGGAGGCGCGGTGGAGAGAAACCGGGATCCGTTACCCGGAATGGATCGGTAAAGTAGGTGGCGCGCGACCCGTTTCGGTCGATGGTCTCCCACGTATTTTATAGACCGAGTCGTCCTTTTCTCGAAACAAACGGAAAATTTGNGAGGTGGTAAGCGGGGGGAGAATTATGGAAAAGTGACGTAACCGGCGAGGCGATAAGAGCGACGACGACCGGGAAATTTTATGTAAATTGGAGAGGATCGTCTTCCAGTCCGAGAGAGAGAGTTATTTGGCATCCCCTTCCGAAAGCGGTTCTACTTTGTTTCCCCCTTCGAACCCGGATGGAAAATGCACCATCCGTCTACGCGGTAACGGAAGTTACGTTCCGAACTTCCGTTACCGCGTAGACGGAGGCGCGGTGGAGAGAAACCTGGATCCGTTACCCGGAATGGATCGGTAAAGTAGGTGGCGCGCGACCCGTTTCGGTCGATGGTCTCCCACGTATTTTACAGACCGAGTCGTCCTTTTCTCGAAACAAACGGAAAATTTGCCGGGCGTAACGCGTAACGACGCACCGTTCGATACGCGAGGCGAAAATTCCTCCCGAGCCGGCGGTGGACGACCGATTTCTACCAAACGTAACGGGCCAACGTGGATAACGTGGTTATTTTCTATCCGCCGGATTTGGGAACGGATCCGATTTTAAATGCAAATTTCTACGGTAGTGTCTTTACGCCGGTTACGGGCTTTAGGTGTTCCTCCGGCTTATTTTCCCGCAGATCCACCCCGGGACAAGTTAGACGAATCGTTAGTCGTTATGGTTATTACGTTTTCGGTCGAGGATGCTTTATGGTTACGTCGCTTTTCTCCGGCGTCGATCTTCCCAAAATCATTTATTTTCTGGAAGTAATACGTTCTCCGGCAGCTCTTATATAGGAACCGCGTATTTGCATTCGCTCCTCCTCCCCTTTATATCGTTTCGTTGGTGGTCCACCCTTCCCTCCTATACGGAAACGCGACGCCCGACGAATAAACAATCGTCGGCATCGAAATACGCCGCGGGGGTAGGGCGGGGAAGTTTCTCTCCTTAATATTCCGTCCACCCCGTTTCTCCAGTTTAAAATTAAACAATTGGAAACCGAAATAAGATGGAGGGGTTCGGAAGTAAAATCAATTTTCCTTACGGAATTTCGCCACGTTTTTCTTCAGATTCGACGGAGGAGCGAGTGGCGTTTGACGCTGGCGAGAGTGGCGACGATTTGACCTTTACCCAGCGACATTTGTTGTCGGGTTTCGAAGGAACCCAACTCGCGTGTGGAGATCGGGTTCCGTTCTCCGTTCCGTCACGAAACGCGGCTTCTCCTCGGGTCCGGGCGTGGTTTCCACTTTAAAATATTTTCCTTTTTTTTTTTAAATTTCGATTTAATTACGGGGGGACGAGAGAACGGCGCCACCTCCCCCGCTCCTATTCCCGTCTAGCGTCGAGTTAAAACAATGCTTTCGGCCACCGATCCAAACAATACGTTTTATTTTTATTAAAGGAAGGAGCCACTTTGATTTTTTATAATTCCCCCGCCAACGTCGATCGATGGGAATCTCTAATAAATAGAAAATGAAGCGTACGGTTTCGTCACCAGAAAAAAAGAGGACCGACAGACGGAGGCGAAGATCGAAGAGAGGTTTGGGCGCCGTCCCAAAACTTCCATCGACCGTCGGCGTTGGAGATAGGGAAGGAGAAACGGAGGCATCGATCGGACGTTCGGACGTCCCTTTTCAGCCGTTAATTACACCCCCGACCGACGGGCACCTCTCCTTTCCGTCGGGCGCCACGCTCCGACGCCTCCGTGATAAACGGGTGGAAATAGGACTCCGGTGTGACCGAGGAATTGGCCGAGTTCCGGCGGAGAAAAAGGATGGAGAGAGTAAAAATTGGAATGGAAATCGGAGGTAGAACGAGAGATTAATGGGGCCCGGTGGCGGAATGTCCATTTATTTCGTCTTTCCCGTGTCTTACCCGGTGGAAACACGTCGTAAATAGCCTAGAACGCCACAGGAAAAGCCCGGAGTCGAATTTTCCGTCTGGTCCGCGGCGGGTGCCTCTACCAATTGTTTTTTCAACCGAAATTTCTTCTGACATACGGAACGCCTCTTCTAACAATTGTTTTCCTTTCTCTCGGAGACCGGGCCTTTCTCTCCCGCCTCGCCACTCCATTTTCATTGTTAACGACTTATGTGTCCGAAACCTTCTCGCGCCCTCCCGAAAATTATAATTGCTCTATTAAGTCGTATCCGGGCCCCCGCCACCCTCGAAAGAAAGGGATTTTTCCGTTGTTCCCTTTATTGTATTAATAAAGGATAAGAAAGTGGAAAATCTTTCTCGCGCGACGCGACGGCGGAGGTGTTTATAATTTGTCTTCCCGGCCAAAGGCGTATAGGAAAAAGGGCGCCCACCACCCCCTTCGGGGTAGAATGGAAGATTCCCGTTACGGTGGCGACGACACGCCCCGGCCCCGTCCGCGGGTGGCGAGTGGTGCGACCGGACGGCGTCGTCGCGCCCCCGACATTCCCTCTTTCCTCGGCACCCGTCAGTCGAAAGGAGAAGAGCCCCATCCGCGTCCGAAAGCTCTTCGTTACCGAGAGGGAAATTAACCCGATTCGGGGAATTATCCCCCAGGGAACGACGGAGAGAAGGAAATTTGCGGTAATTACCGATAATCGACAGTCATTTTAAATTCTTATTTCGTCTTTACTTTCGTCGGACGGGAACGTTCCCACGGCCCCTGCCCCCGCGTCGTCCCCATCTCCCGCGGAATACTATTATAAATGGCGTATTCTTCCGGGTAATTAATAAGAAAAGAGGTTTGGCGCGGTGGCGACGGGAAGGGGATCCGTGCCGAAGAACCGCCAGTGGGGAGGAAAGTTCCTATACACCGGGCGCGGAGGATTTCCGCCAGTGCGCGTGGAAGGAGAGAAAATAATAAACTTTGCAAAGCAGGTTAATTGGGAAGGAGAAGGAAAGGACTCACCCTGCAAGCAGTTGCCTCCTGCGGACAGCACCCAATTGCTCTTTTTGCAGACGCAAGTCCGCGTGTCCGCGTCGCATTCCACCTGCTCCACGTCTCCGCATTCCGAGTCTTCCGTGCATTCCACCGCCGCACCTGCCGAAAGAGAGTGGTCCACACTTGAGAAACGTGGGCATTTCCGCCGGACACATCGCTTCCCGGGATTAAAGGGGCAATCCACCCGGCATTGGAGCGACCGTGCCCATTAAATAAACGCGCCATTCGATGGCCGGCGGAAAAACGAGAAATCGCCGAGGCGTTTGCCAGTCGCCAACGTCGTCTTTTAACGCTTTTTCTCGTCGTTCGGAACCGACGATTATTCGCCTCTCCGACCGGTCGTTCGCGAGCCACGGGGTTGCGACCAACGACCAAGGGTCCATCCCGTCTTCGGATCGAAATCCTTGGCGGGGAATGCCAACGAAAGCGGAGGAAGCCGGAAGTGCCGAAGAACCGAAATCCTCCGGCGGGACATTTATAAAGGCATTTCCAAAGTTATCCGGGAGGGTTCTTTTCCTCCCAATCGGGTGGTGGGATTAACCACGCGCCGATCTTCTTTCGGACAGAAGGGAAGTGACGTAACCGGATCTTTTCGTCCCCCTTTCCACGGATTAGCAGAGATTGGAGGGAAAAAGTGTAAAGAGCTTCGGCTAAATTAGCGGAGTCGATAAATTGGAAGCGAGGAAGGGAACCGCGCGCACCTTCCGACCGCAGTTATCGAATCTATCTCGTCGGCGGCGAGAATCCGACGAGATAAATTCCCGTGTTTACCGGGAGCGGGGAGGAGGGAAGAACGTAGTTTTCGCCGGAAAAGGGATTTTTTTTCAGATTTCGTCCCGAGCGGAGAATAATTAAGACAGGGCGCGGTCGGAGGATAATTTCCTCCACGGAAGACGGAACGGAAGAAAAATAGTTTGGGAGGTCGGTATGGGCGCCCGCGCCGCAATACGGGCGCGCGATCGATACGGGGAGAAAAGGGCGACGCGAAAACATTCCGACGCTCCGCACCCGACCAGGGAAATTCCGTATTCCCCGTCATTTTTCTCAAAGGATTCCTCCGCCTCCTCCCGGCCGACCGGCAAATTCCAAAGACGATCGCCTCCCCCCGCGCGAAACTTTCCGGTAAAATAGTTTGAAGCGCGTTTGGGCGGCGGGGTCCGACCGGGGTGGGGGGCCGGACCCGTTTTCGGGGTTATCGATCGGGAAAGGAAACGGACCCGGCCGCGCGCGTAACCCCGACGACCGAGCAAACAAATCGCGCTAATTGATTCCTCCCGCGCCGTTCAACTGGAAAAGCGCGGGCCTCCGGGGTTCGAACCCCGGCGCGCGGCGGGGAAAGTGCGCCGGGTCGGGGGTGGCCCGGGTGGAAGAGGAGAAAGGGAAAGAGGTACTCACCGGTGGGCGCATCCGTTTGGTTTCGCTGGAGTTCGGCCGGATAAGCGGCGCACAAGAGCAGGACGAGCAGCGCGTAGCGCCGTCCCGCGTTCATTTTCGGATGAGGTGGCGATTAACCCAGATCTTCCATCCCCACGGACGCTTCGGGCGTCCGATGTCGTCCGCCGTTCGCTCGCGCCGACTTTTCCTACCGGCTTTCGTCGGCTCGGCGCTCCACGGCGGCCGACGCCCGTCCCTCTCTCCCATTGGTCCGTTCCGCGCCTGCTCTATCGGGGCGCCCTCTCTCCGCCTCCCCCGCCCGGGCGCCGTCGCCTCCCCTTTTCTCCCCCGTCCGATCTCCTCCGGAACCCTCCTCTTCCATTTCGGAATTTTCTTCCTCCCGCTTTTAATATTGTCGCCAACCGCCGCGCCCGCTCTCCGACCCGGTGTCCGGCGCCTTTGGCTAATATCCCCCGTATCTTTCGCACCGCGTCCCGTCTCTCGCCCCATTGGCGCGTTCTTTTTCGTATCCGTTTTCCCCACGCGCTCTTACGTCATTAATCACACTTAGGACAAAAGATTTAGGAAAAGGATTCGGGTGTCCATCAATTACGGCCGAGATACGACGCAGCCAATTTCTGCCGGTGTGTCGCGCCTCTTCTTTCTATTTCGGCGGCGGAAGGGGAAAGAAATCCTCCCCGTAAGGAAGGCGAAAGGTTACGTCTATTCGGCACGGAAGAAAGGGAACGACGTTACTTTCTCCTCGCCGGCCGCGAAGAGAGACGGCGAATTAATCCCGAGGAAAATAGAAGGACGAGCGCGGAGAGAATCTACCGTCGTTGTCCCCCGTCCCTAATTAAGTCCGTTTAGCCGAGATTTTACGCCATCTTCTTGGACGGTGCCGCCATCTTCCGAGAGAAATGTAAACAAATGACAAAATAAGCGGCGTAAATACTGGGATGGGAGGTTATTAATTTCGGACATCTCTTTAATAAATGGAACCAAAGTACGGCTAGGCCGAGAACTCGAAACAATAGAGCCAAATTCTTAGTTTTGTCAATGAATATCCGGACGAAAAGCGTAAAGTTTGCCGGAAATTATGAAATATGGTTCCCGACATCGTTTAATGGCTATTCGTCTGTCCGTCCTTCCTTAATCTCGACAGCGGAGTTGGATGGAAGTCGAGACCGAATGTGGAAGGCCCCGATTTACCGAATACGAACTTCCGGTCCAGACCGGAAGTCACTTTATTTCCATTCGAAACCTTTCTCCCGAAAGTCTCTATTGTTACGGGGAAAAGTATGATATACGGGGGCGAGACACAACGGAAATCGAGAGCATTGTCACCGAGTCAGTTTTGATTGTTTTCCTTCCAAAATTAGTAGAGGGAAGAACCGGATGGCGTAAAATCCCACGTTCCGTGACTTCTACTAATCCTCATCTACTTCGTCAGGGAAAAGAATTTCTTCCCGATTATTATATTTTATAAATTAATTAAGATGGCCAGCGTACTATAATTCCCCAATCTGTTTCCTCCTCTTCGCATCGATCCGCATTTTATCGGTTAATTTAAGATTCCGAGAGTTTTAAAATCGATTTTCTGGGAAAATGTTTATTTTTCTAAATCGGAATTTTAGTTTCGGGCGCGTGGGAAGAGAAATTACGTGACGAAAATTAACCCGCGGTCTGGTGCTAAAACAACGGAAACGAATAGATAATTTCCCAAAAACGTGGCGCCTTTAAAGAGTGAAAAAAAAAAATCATGTTTTCTCCGGTTACGCCGGAAGACAGAGGTGGGGAAAGCGCGTCACGTGGTACAGACGAGTCGGCCAACGAATGCGCATCACGTGATAATCTCCACACGTGTGGTGGAGAGAGAAAATTTGGGTAAAAAGTAAGAAACGAAGTCAAATTTCGTTTCTTCCTCCTTACCCAATTCTCAGATAATAAACAAAATAGACGCTACGCAACAAAACCCAGTGTTTTGTTGAGTAGTTGCGTTGTTTTGCGTAGTAGAAACCCGCATAGTTTACGCAAAACACGTTTATTTATCTCTTAAGGTTACAATGGAGCCGGCCTCTAACCGTCTTTCCCGACTTCTAAATGGGTCGACCGGCTTTTTCTGCAAATGCCTGACTTTCAAACGCGAGAGACAAAACACCAGAAGTCAAACTTTTAATGACCAAATTCGTATTATATTAATAACACTGGATTAATTTCGTAATAAATGTCTACCAGCCGAAAGTATCGGGTTTGGGGATAACATTCGACTTAATCGCAGTTCGGAGTCGTCGTCCAAGTCGATGGCGAATGTTCGTCCTATAATTACCGTCTCTAACGAGATTTTCGTCGTTTCGTCTTCCCAGCGAATCGGTGTCGCCGGACACGGATGCGGGCACTCCGAAGGCATTTAAGGAATTTTATTTCATTGGACTGCAATTTGAAAATATTGTAGAGCTATAAATTCTCACTGTCCTTCGTCATCCGTTTGTCTGTCCTTCCTTAATCTCCGGAACGGAGTCGGAAAGACCACCGACACCGCTCTATCGCTAACGGGAAAAGTATAACGTACAGGGGTCCGGCGATTTTCCCGTTTTCCTCTAAATAGGGACCTCTTTTGCGTAAAATTTTCCCGGGAGGCGTGCCCGGTGGCAGTGGTCCAGACGTGGTTTGGCCTTTCCACCGATCCAACCGATCCCCCTTAACGTATTTATTTCACCATAAGATTGTAAGGAAAAAATTAAGTTTTCGGAACTAGTAAAATGGTTTCCCTTTTCGTCTGCCCACCGAGTAAATCTATAAATACACCCGCCGTTGTGTTTAGACCCCAATTCACCAATTATTTTGTGTTGGCGCCAAATTCTTGATAAAATATAAAAGTTCTTACGATTATAAACAAAGAAATTATTTACAAATTCTAAGGTAATGATTTTAATGATTTAAAAACTCAATCATTTTATAACTTAATTTAAATGTTGTACTTTTAAATTTACATTCTTCGTATCCCACAAGTAATGCATTATCGCGTCTAAGTGGTCCTACTAAATCCTGTTTAGCCTAATACGAAGCGCCAGTCTTTTTGCTCGATTCGCGGAGTAAAATAGCGCGTTTATCATTTGTTCATCGAACTGTCAACGTTGTTAAACCCGTTATACGTTAAATAAAATGGAAGTAGTGACAATGGTCTAAAATATAGTCATAGACAAAGTTGTTCGATATAAATATAGAAATGCAATCGATAATTTGGGGTGAGAGGTACATCATTATCCAAGTTGGAAGTATTTGGACATAACTACCGACTTTCGTAGCTATTGGTCGAACGACCTAGGCGTGCATAGCGAACAAACAAACAAACATACTCATTCATCAATATATATGTAAAAAACTAGAGCTTAGAAGCTAGAGGTTCATTGTTAGGAAAATAAATCCGAAAAAAAATTCCAATTCGAGACGTTGGAAACTTAAAGCGTGTTTGCCCTAACTAAACAAAATGCCCCAAAAGTAGATTAACAATAAAGGAAATAATAGGAATTTAACCGGGTTCCATCCGTTAAGGCCAATTACAGATAATATAGACGTAGCGCGTCGATATACGGTGGCAGAGACACGAATGGGAAAGACAAGGATGACGTTGGCCACGTCTGTCCGACTTATGATCCAGTAATTCCTAACGACGTTTCTATAAATGATTTTTGCTTATTTCCTCCTCTGTTAGTAGTAACACTTGATAATATGCGGGTTAATAAATGTATTATGTAAATAGGTCAACGTAGAAACATTAGACGCCGGTAGCAAACCCCTATAGAATTAAGGCTATTTTTATCAACAGAAAATAAGCAATTAAAGGTGCCAACTTAGTATTTATCAATAAAAGTTTTATTGTTTAATAAATGTAAGATTTAAATACTGTTTCGTTGGTGCACCGCGCAAACGTCTTCGTCAAATATTTACCAGTTTTCTATAGAGGGGTGCGCGTGACGTCACACGACTCCGCTNGCAAACCCCTATAGAATTCAGGCTATTTTTATCAACAGAAAATAAGCAATTAAAGGCGCCAACTTAGTATTTATCAATAAAAGTTTTATTGTTTAATAAATGTAAGATTTAAATACTGTTTCGTTGGTGCACCGCGCAAACGTCTTCGTCAAATATTTACCAGTTTTCTATAGAGGGGTGCGCGTGACGTCACACGACTCCGCTCACATATACGGAGACTGCGCAAAGAAGCGCGCGCCATATTAGTTACTGATTTCGTGTTCCCTCGCTCGATCACTATTATGTCAACGCAAAAGAAAGGAATTTTACCAGGCTTTGCAGCCGATTTGACAGGTAATGATTTGATAAAATATAAAGAGAAAACTTATTTTATCGGATGGGATCCATACGAAATGAAACAAATGGATTTTTCATCCAACGATTTAACCACGTGGCCAACTATAGAACGTAAATTATTAGGTTTTAACAACTAACGCTGTCACACTGGATCAGACGAAGGCGTACAAGTCACTCGATGCTCGTAATTATTTGACAAGGGGATTTATTCGTGGCGATATTTTATCGAGAGCCGTTCGTAATGATTTAATTTTGCTTGTAGGAAAGGTACAGTACGTATCTTCGTGTGAAACTTTCCATTACTCATAACATAACTGCGTTAATATAAAGACGGATGTAATTTTATATTTAGTCACATTTTAAGTTAACTTGTATTTATAATTACGGTACACCCCTATAAAACGGGTTCATATAATACGGATTTGTATAATACGGCGAAAAAATTGCGATCGTATTCGTGTAAACACGCTAAAAGAGACTCGTATAATACGGTAAAACGTATTATACGAGTCTCTTTTAGTGAATCGTGTCGCGACAGGATTGGTCGAATCTAGACCAATAGCGAATATTGCGCAAACCGTCGAGTTTAAACGAGCGGCGGAACTACTAAAAACCATTTATTATTTAACGGCCATAAAAATTGTATTTATAATGATGTCTCCAAAGTTCAGAGAATTTTTCGCAGAAAAATAACTTATCGGGAAAACACGCGCCCGCCGTTCGATGCGCCGCTCCGCCACGAAAACGAGCTTAAGCAATGGCGTCGTCAAACGGTGCGCACTCGGTAAGTAATCCTACAATTCTTTTTGTTTATAGCGTAGTTTATACGGATTATTCCCAAAATATTATACGTGTTTTGGAAATGTTTAGTCGAATTAGTCTAGAATCGAGTAATTTTATGGAAGAAAACCTTTCGAACAGCCGTAGTCCGTAAACTGCACACGTGCCGGGCTGTGATTGGCTCACGTATTTAATTGACTCGTACAACATGGAATTCATATAAAACGGAACGTATCTACCGTATTATAGGGGGGCCTACTGTAGTTACAAAAATGCTCGAAATCTACCTACTAACTAAATAGATAAACCAACT